TTGGTTCCGGCAGCTCGACGTCAGCAAGTAGAAGAGCACCTGAAGCTGACACAAAACGACCACAAATCGGGGCCATCAACATGTGCAAAGTTGGGTCAAGTTGCACAAAGTGTCTCAAGAATCTCAATGGTCCCAACTCTTGAAGGAACATGAGGGCTGGGTCATCTGGCGATTGGTTCCGGCAGCTCAACGTCAGCAAGTTGAAGAGCACCTGCAGCTGACACAAAACGACCACAAATCGGGGCCGTCAACATGTGCAAAGTTGGGTGAAGTTGCACAAAGTGTCTCAAGAATCTCAATGTTCTCAACTCTTGAAGGAACATGAGGTAATAAAAACGAAAGGCTGTGCAATGTGAAGGATTTATCATCTATTGCCCCTATTTCTTGAGTTCTTGTAGCCCACTACCAATGAAACGTTTGCTCATCTGAGCTTCAAAAGCAAGTTTGCTTAGAACATGTCTCTGTACCTTCAGACCATTTTGCAGCCAATCCTTCGTCTGCACCTTTGTGATAGTCTTCAATTCAACAACTTTCCATCTTGCAGTGCGTTTTGCATTCTGCAACTGGTTGGAAACACCTGGGGATCTGGTCACGAACATGCTGAGCAAATGCAAACTTCTCAGGCAAAGGTAGCCCCGCCGCTCCCAGCAACCCCCTCAAGGCGTACGCCCCAAGGGGCGGGGCCGCGCCAGGGGCAATTCTGCCTTCTCCACCCAGCCAGTTGTGACCATGGCCTGCTTCCCTTCTTGCCCATAGCGCCGCGCAGCCGCTGGGCTCAGCACCCCCACGACGGCCCCGAGCACATAGGCCCTTGATGAGGTGGCTTGGCTATAGCCAGGTGCCTGGGTCGTCCAGTCCCGCTCCCGGACGGTGCCCTGGCCATCTTCACCAAGTCGCATGGCCACCCGTTTGAGGCGTGCATCATCCTCTGTCAGCTGAAATGCACTTTTTCTTTTTTTTCCTCTTTTTGGCAAGTGGGTGCGGTCCACTTGCTGCCACTCAGCTTCTGGTAATGCTTCAGCTGCAGCGTCAGGGATGGCCACAAGCAAGAACATCTTGACCAAGTGGCTGTGGCTGGGCTGGTACCACTCACCGAAATAGTGGCAAATGCCATATCGCGCTGCCATTGCATGGGACTGTGAGGTGTAGGCACCTCGGCCGCAGGCCGTCCCATTGGCGCTGTTGTCACTTTCGGAAGGTAGAATTTCGCCAACAGCCAAGGCACTTGACACCCCGTATAGCGACGTGCCATGAAATTCCAGCTGCCACCCGGCACTCCAGCGCGGAACGCTTTTGTGCGCTGAAATGGTGGCTGCTGCGCTTTCTGGCACTGGCGGTGCAACTGCTGTGGGGTAGAACCGCCACTCTTCCCCAGGCTTGTCTGCCGGAAACTCTGGGAACTGCAGCTGCGGGGCTAGCTCCCTCGCCACTGCCAGGTTGGGCGGCAAGTCTTCTAGCAGCTCAGCAACAGGTCTTACCCCTTCCACACTGTACCGGTGCCCTCTCTCTATGAGCCACTTGTTCACGTCATCCCACACTGGCGCTGTTGGTATTGCGGGCAGCCATTCCAGCTCGGCCATCCACTGCCGCACGCCTTCAGTGCGCAAGACATCGTGGGAGCGGATCAGCTTCACCAGGCCACCAGTGAACTTTCGGATCCCTCGCGGCGTGAAGTTGGCTCTGCTATGGGCTGGTGGGATAGCACAAGTGTACTCCCGCAACCGCGCCACACCCGCAGCTTCCACCATGGCCGCCCTGCGGACTGCGTCCCTAGCACATTCTTGCCTACTGTCTTTGTTGTTGTTCTTCGCGGAGCTGCACAACATGGAAAAAAGCAGTGTGTTCTGTTTTCTTGCCTGACAAAGTTCTATTTCTTAACTTGTTCCTGGTCTTTCCTGCTCTGCGGCTGCGCGATGTTTGCCGGTGGTGATACACATACACCCACCTTTCCCACCAGTTCCAGACCCGCCCATTCCAAAAACCGACAGCCCCGCCTTCAGCTCAGCTGGCTGCAGCGCTGCTCGCTAACACCGCGCATAGGCACCTGCAGTTGCGGCTACCATGCAACACACCCCTTCACTCTGCAGAGTCTCACGCGGACTGCAACCTCGAGGTGTACACCCCAAGATGCAAGCACTGAAGCACCTTCACCTTGTGGCTCTATCATGCCATGTTATGTTCACTGCTTACAGCAAACGGTGTCAAAGTTTCCAGCAAACCGGCCCGAGCGTCTTGACTGCTCAAAACTCGCGCCTCTGCAGCGCCGAGTCCAGACCCACGGATGCCAAAAACCGACAGCCCGGCCTTCAGCACCGCTCGCTGCAGTGCTGCTGCCTAACACCGCACATAGGTGCCTGCAGTTGCGGCTACCATGCAGCACACCCCCTCAAGTCTGCAGACACTCACACGGACTGCAACCCCGAGGTGTACACCCCAAGATGCCAGCACTGAAGCACCTTCACCTTGTGCCCCTGCAATGCCATGTTCTTTCCGCTGCTTACAGCAAACAGTGGCAAAGTTTCCAGCAAACCGGTCCGAGCTTCTTAACCGCTCGCAACTCGCGCCTCTGCAGCACCTCTTCTGCACCCTGTGCAGCGGCCAAGATTTAACCCCCCTGCTCCCTGCCCGCCCACTGAACTTTTTCAACATACCCTGGCTCCTGGCATTTCTAGGCTACCTCAAGACTATAGCTTGTGATTGACAGAAGGTCAGAGAGCGAGATGGCTCTAGATACAAAGATCAAGCTAGCCGCACCCCACCTCTGCTTCATGCCCGGGTCCAGACAAGCAGGGCGAAGGGTCCTCAGATTTCATTTCCGGCTGGCGCAGAGCTGCTGTCTCTCAGCCCCGGTCTGAGCGCCTAGTACGCTATTGATCTTTTTCGGCTTAGGGTCTCAATCAGTGAAGCAGCTTCTGTACAGCAGCTAAACAGCCAGATGCTGTTACGTTTCAAATGCACAACTTCCCGCTCCTTAGCTCCTGGATTCCTATTCTATGCTACAGGAAACGACCCGACAGCCACGATTGAATTGGCAAAGAATGAAGCACGTTCCCATAATGTCCGCGCAGCAGCCCTGGCGGACCTGCTGGCTAGATTATTCGAAGGAACAGCTTCCAGCCAGTTCACCGGCCTTCCAGCCAGTTCGCCAGCCATCTGCGCTCTCACAAGGCCAACCTAGGCATACACCCCAGCCAGCCTTGCTCCAGCTTGGCAACCTGCCATGCTTGCGCCCGACGCTCACCGAGGCATACACCCCAGCCAGCTCCTTGCATCTAGAGCGCAAAGATGACCCGTGAAGGAAGAGGCACTGATTCTGGGCCAAGCACCTCCCGGGGAGAATGGCACTGAAGCCCGTCACTGAGACATTGGAGTAGCGTGTACTCTTGGTTGCCAGCAGCACTTGGCAGCTTTGCCCTTCCTGCAACTTCGGGATCTGCGGCCTGTCGACATGGACGCGGACTGCCAGGCCACTCTCATCCACCAGCTTGAAATGTCCCCCCCCGACCTCCAGAACACGTCCTTCAATGTTCACAGCAGACCAGTCACTGACTTCCGCCAACCGCTGCATGTCGGTGCACCGCGGTAGCGGCTTTTCTTCGTCACTGACGGCCACTGCCTGGACTGTAACGCCACGGCCAGCAATCAATTCTGGGATGCCGACCCGGGAGTTACGGTTGCTGGCTCCCACTTGTGTAATTGCCAACTGCTGGCCTTCGCGGCCTTTCACGGTCTCATGCAGGAGCTTTGCCCCTTCCCCCCAGGCCGTCAGTACTGCCTCATTGTGACCATCGGAGACCAAGCAGCAGTAGATGCAGCTTGGCTTGCCCTTTGTTGTCTTGCGAGCTTGAACCGATCCCTCTGCCACAAGGATCCAGGCTTTCAAGCAATTGGCAGAACGACCATTCTGCAAAATCTCCTGCACTGTTTGGAACTCCTGCCCCTGCGGCAGCGCCGGGCAGGTGCCCATTGGAGTGGCCAGCCTTGGGCGCTTCTCTGGAGACCCTTCCACCTCCTTGCTTTTGCCCAGGTGCTTCTTTGCCAGCTCAAACCCTTCATCGAGCAGAAAGGCTCGTTTGAATGAGGCTGCATCGAGATGTTCCTGAGCCATGCCCGGCAGCTTCCCCCACATGCCATCCCATGCTTTCTCCACAAGCTTTTGTGTTTCCTCTGCCTTTTCAAGCGGCCAGCTCACCATCGCACTCAGCTTCTCACCGGCTGGAACTTCACCAAGCCAGCCATAAGCTTGCAACACCTCGCTGCCTCGACTCTCCAAACTTTCTCCGGCTGACTTCACGTATGCTTCCACAGTAGCATCACTCGCCAACTTGCCTAAACCTGCTAGGTCTGCAAGCGCCAAGGCCCTTGTCACTTCCACCAGCCGTGCATCTCTTTCTGCGTCAGCTTGCTCACCTGCCATGACAGTGCAAAGGAACCGCTGCAGATTCTACTGGCTCGAACCTCGTCGGCTGCTTCAATCTTACTACATTGCATGTTGTACTGCGTGCAGCAAGTGTCCCATATTCAGTTCTCCATTCATGCGCCGTCCCCCCAGTCCTGCCAAGATACCCACTGCCACCCAAGGCATACGCCCGAGGCCAAGGATAGGCACCCAGCTCCACGCATCACATGTACCTGGCTCCGGCCGCATGGTGAAAATGGCAGCTGCCTACTCAATCCCATCAAGTTTGCTGGTGTCGTTGTCTTTGTGGTGTTCTGTGTGTGCATGCCTTCCCGTACTCAGCTACCCCAACGGGTACCCAGTCCTGCCTGTCACCTCCAAGCGACGCCCCGACGCATCCCATTCCTGGCGCCCGCTGCGTGTTCTTCTCTACTTGATCTGTGTTACTCCTTTGCCACTGCCCCGCCCTGCACATGTCATCAACCTAGCCTCACCGCAAGGTCAGCACCTTTCGCACCATTCCCCCAGGCATACGCCCAAGGTTCACCTGCAGTCCAGCACTTTCTACCCTACGTCCTCCTTTCGGCACCTTGGCCTGCAGTCACTTCCAACTCTTCCTCCTCATTTCCGTATAGATTTCCGTTTCCTCTGCTATGCAGGCATTGCATCTCCTCTTCTGCTTCTTCTTTATTGCCGATGGTGTCCTCCGCTCGCATTCGGCGAACTGCGATTTGCGCTTCATTCTTGTGCACCTCCCACATTCCATTGCATCTTGGCAATTCTCGCACAACTGCCGTACTGTACGACGGCCTCGCATCCACTCCTTGCAACACTCGCACTGCACTTTCCGAGCGCAATCTTGGCAACGCTTTCCCATGCCACCGGCTGCCAGACCGACCCCACAAGCTTCACAGCTGCCTGCACACCTGCTACATGTCTTGCCTCTCACGCCCACTTCCATAGGCTTCTGACATTTCTCACACAAGCCTTGCCCCTGCTTCGCCACACAGCCTCTGCACTGCCTCTCTCGGCCCTTCTCCAACTCTGAATCTTCAAAATCTACTGCTGGCTTCAAACCACAAGTGGCACATTCAAGCCAAGGCTTCCAAGCTGCACTTCCCGACCCCTTCTCCTGTCCAAGCAGTTGCTCAGTCACCCCTTCCCAGTCAATTTCTTCCTTCTTCAAATGCCGCAGCAGCAGCTCTGGCACTGCCTTGCCTGTTTTGCTGAACATGGCAAGTGGGAAGGCCCGCAGCAGGAATATGTCTGCGCGTGTGCTCACACGCGATAGGGCCACGTAACAAGTCTGCCCCGACGTCCCATCAGCAATGCTGACATCTGCGAAAACCTTACCTAAATTCTGACCCTGCGCAAAGTTTGCTGTGCCCGCAAATCCTGGGCACAATGGCAACTGCTTGCGAGTAACTCGGAGCTTGGGATACCTCTGCTTCTGATCAACATACCAATCCTTTTTGCACACCTGGATTGGATACATCCCAGGCGCCATGCCAGGCAGCTGCCACGTTGCCCCTGGAAAGGAAACTATCACACAAACCGGCGGACGTGTCAGCACCACTTCTCTGGCGTCCTTGTCGCCTTCAACTTCCAGCTCATCCAAGACCCAATCTTCTATTATGCAACGCCTTCCTTTCAGCAGGTTCCTCTCTGGGTCTCTGTCAATGTGCTGCGTCAGGAACATGGGCATCTGCCTCGCCAAGGGCACAATGCCTGACAAGTCTCCACATGATTTGTCAGTTCGACGCAAGAACTCCACCTTTCGCCTGGCTAGATCCGGCTCAATGTTCAGTGCTCTCACCGAAATCACATCCTCAGCCATGCACCATTGCAGCTGTTGCCCTCTCTCCGCCGCGAATCGCCGACTGCGAGCCTTGTTGATTTCGGTGCGCGTGTCATTGTTCGGTACAATGCACGGTGCATCCTTGAAAACTGCTATCTTCGCTCCTGCGTGCATCCAAGCCTCCCCCAAGGCATACGCCCCAGGGGTGTTCTCCAGCAGGACTCGGCACCGACTTTTCCGTTCGCTTGCACACTCTTTGCACTCCATACCTTGGCAATGCTTCCACGTTGCTCCCTTTTCACGCAAAATCTTCCAACTAGCCTCAAGCTTCTTGCAATCTTCACGTCCACACCGCACGTGCCCCTTCAAATATGATCCAGGCACTGTCGTTTCCAAGCCATGCAAGAACGCATGCGTATCCGCCGTCAGGGCCATGGTGCGGAACTCGGTCAACACCTACATGGAACGCACATCCACGCCACAACACTGTGTCACAACGCCCCCCTCCCTAACAAAAATACATGTCCCAGTACTTACCTCTCATTCCATTTGTGCAGCACACATGTCCCAGTTATTTTTATCCCGTGCCCCGCCTGCTGCCACCACTCATCCTTGCATCTGTAGACCTCGTCAAATTCTATCAGCTCAACTCCTTGCCCCCACAACAACTCCAGACCTTGGATCGCAAGAGGCGGCAACGCCGCAGGCTTCGGCCGAGTCAACAACGATGGGGGTGGGGTGTGGAGCGCAATGCCTTCCGGTGGATCTATTTGCCGAATATCCCCAAAGAGCGTCAAGTTCAATCCGCCCCACGGGCGCATGGTACCGTCCATTGCATTTCGGTAGAAGCCGTTCTGTGGCACTTTTGATCGAATGTGGTTCTCTGCTTCTGCAAAGAAGCCCGCAGAAAGCATGAACACTTCATCTATAAGCAAATGCCGCGCAAATGCCAGCCTCTTGCTCGACTCTTTCTGCTGCACCTCATGGCTTGTTTCTGGGGCTGACCCTTGGGACTGAAATGGATTAATGCCGGCAACGTGGTGTAAAGTTTCACCTCCCAGCATTGCAGCTACTGACGCCTGCAGCGACGCAACCAAGAGCTCCTGCCCAACTTCATACTTCATTACCTCCACATAGAACTTTTTCAAGGCGAAAATTACTGCCGACTTGCCTGTCCCTGGGCCACCATGAACGAGCAGCATCAAGGGCTGCCCCTTGCTTTTCTCCAAGCACCTCTCCTCCTGCGCCTCCTCCACGGCACGGTCCACATGCTTTTGCAGCACAAGCCGCTGCTGCGCGTTCAAGTGCGCAGTGTTCTGCTCCAACCAGGCCCACGCTTCCTCCACCAACACTGCCTCCTTGCACCTTGCTGCTCCTTCCACTTCGCCACGCCGTTGCCCTGCATCCCGCTTTCTCTTCTTTTTTCCATGCTGCTTCACACTGTTCAGCCAAGCATTGCAATCTTTCCAACGATGCTGCTTTACGCTGTCATGCCCCACGAAAACTTTCTCGCACTCTGGCCATAGCATGTGAACGCACTCAAACGCATGTGTTGAATTCTCAAAATGGGTCAATCCTGCTCTCTGGCGCCGATCTCCCCCTATCTTTGTTGGCATGACCATCTCCAGGACAGCCTCGCTCCTTGGCCGTGTGTCTTTGCACTTTCAAACAACCACGACCATTGCTTGGCACATGAGCGGAAACCCTCCTAGCAAGCCCTCCAAGACATCACTCACCACCAACTCACGCACACAGCCAGAATCTGAGGACCCGACGGGTGCAGTTCAACGTCCTCTTCCCCCTCCTCACTTTCCTCTTCCCCTGCTGCCGTCGGGTATCGCACCATGAAGGTCAGCATGAAATTCTGCATCATCTGACGAATTTCCTCACTCAAACATCCTCTTGCCAGGTACCTTTTCAAGCCTTCTTGCCACGACTTCTTCCCAGTACCGTCTATTGCCTGCAAATTCCTGGCATGCACCACAAACGGTGGGCGCGCCATACTTTCATCCAAAACCCAAGGCGTAAAATACACCAAAAGCAGCTGAGCTCGCCGCTCCTCGGTTAAGGTACCTGGGCGCCCCACTGGGCTGCCCCTGAACTCGGGCACCACGGCATGCAGTCGCTCTACCATGCGCCACATCCTCAGCTACTTCACAAGCAACGGCAAGGTCATCCTATACCCCCCATCCTCAGCGCACAAACCCCGATCAAACCTATTTCCACATGCACGGCTCAAGGCATACGCCCCAAGACTGCCACATGCTCAGTGCGCCTTCAATCCTGTCCCTCCCGCCTGTTACATAGCTATACCATACCCCTGCTTGCAGTCAAAGCTCCTGCTCACGTCCGGAAACTCTGCGCTTTCGGGGAATTGCAAGACCCCCCTCCACTGCGCCGGCTCTTTCTCCACCACCGCAGTGGTCTTCACCTCCCAGTACCGGGCAAATTCATAGGGGCTTAGGTAGGACACACGGCTATCTACTCCTCGCAGCCCATAGAGAATAGCCAGATCACGCAACACCACCTCTCCTTGCACCACCTGCATGTAACCCTTCATCCCTCTCACTGACTGCCCTGCTGTAATTCTCTCTATTACTTCCAGCAACGCTGCTCCAGGCAAAGCCACCGTCCTAAAGGTTTGCAAACATTCCGCAGCGCACGGGTCCTGCTGCGTTGCCAGCGCATGCATGTTCAAATTCTCTGTTTCCACCGCCCCTCGGACAATGCCGCGGACAAAGCAATCTGCCACAATCCGCTGCGCATGTCTCCGGCTCACCTGCCCAGCTGACTTTTCACCAACAATCTTGGCAGACATGGCAGCATGCACACGTGCAAACTCGCGGCACTCATAAAGACCACTCGCCTGCCTCTTGGTGCAATAATCTGTGGCATAACCTATCTGGGCCGCTTGCGCTCCTTGCGCAATCCGCTGCCACTCTGCTACCTCTACCTTGTCCACACAATTCTCCGCGCATCCCTTCCAATGGCTCTGTAGGCACAGGGGCACCCTGAAACCCACCTGCACATCCGAATTATGTCGGCCAGCCGCTAACAAAGCTGGATGGCTCCCATTCAACCAAGGGCAACTTCGCGGTCCAAAAAGACTCCCTAATGCATTCCTTCTCCCTGACGTCGCTAACTTGAATTTCTCGGCCGCCCCAGGGCACACTACCTTCTTCCTCTGTCAACTGCGACTCCAACGGGTATCCAGAACGGCACTGGCTCTTGTTTTCACTTTTCCTGCACCCTGCGAGTGGCTGCCTCTCTCCCTGCCTGTCCTTCGGATGAATATGATGCTGTCGAGTCATTTGCACCTGCTGCACATCCATTTTGTATTTCTGCACCCAACCGTCTCCCTCCGCTAAAATCTCTTCCTCTGTCAGACCCCACTCATCCACTGAATCACCAAAAAACTTTGGCAGCAGCAAAAGATCTTCCCTCTCGCTGTAGTCAGGCCACGTCTCTTCCACCCATGCCCTCTCTTCCTCACTCCACATCGCTGGCACCGCATGCTGCTGCATGCAAACATGCTGCTTGAAGCGTACAAAAGCCTCCACTATCTCCTTGCCCTCTCTTTCAATCCTCTTGCTCATCTCCTGCAGTGTAGCCACTTGCTGCAAACCTTCTATCACAACAAAACCATGCACATGCAAAGCGCTTGACTTCTGACTCTCAATGCTGAAGAACGCCGCAGCACATCGACCAAAAGCACCGCCACCCAGCTCTGCTGCGTTGCCTGCCAAGTCACTGCAAAAGGCTTCTGCGTCCCTCTGCGCTTGGCAAGCCAGGCAAAACAAGCAGGTACGCAGACCAAACAGGCCTCTCAATAGCAGGAGGATGTGCACCCGAAACCCAAGCACAGCCGCTGCCGGTTTCAATGCCAACACCTGTCGCCTCTCCTCGAATGCTGGCCATGGGCTTTCATCCCTACTTCCTGGCTGCAACCGACCTGCCACTTTCTGCAAGGCGGGATTTTTCCTCACAGCTGGGTCTTTCCTGCACCATCTAGCCAAACGCAGCATCAAATAGTTGTGTTTCTCTGCTGGACTCAAAGTCACAAACACAGGCACACCATATGCCACCTGCAAGACCTTAGCTCGATACGTCATGAATGTTCTCACCCCTGTTGTCCCCGGCAACTTGCCCATGATATGCCTGGCCTCCTGCAGCAGTCGCAAGGCCCCTTTCGAGATTCCTGGTATGTATGCCACTTTGTTGAGGTCGCCCCCCACAGGCCTCAGCTGACCATCGCTCCCCACGTACTTCCCTGACAATCCTTCACTGATCTCACAAGCGGCATTCTTGAGCTCTTCTCCTCGCAGGTTCCCTTCGTCACCTTCTTCTCCCCCACCTAGCCTCCGTAAGGACAAGCCTTTCGCCCGGTGCAACTGCTGCCTGAACAAATAATTCCAGCGGACATACGAAAAGCACCAATCCGCACCAAATTGATGTTCACAGCGGTGCCCCATTAGCTCCGTGAACTCTGCCAATTCCACAGCAATTCGACGCCGCCTCCGCCGATACCCATGCTGCTGCTCCTCCATATCCGGCATCGCTACCTGCGCCTTGAAGACAAACGGAAAGGCCTGCAGGGGCCCACCCCTTCCCCTCCTTCCTGCCATCCAAAGCATTCTCTCCACACCCCCGGCCCGGCCTGGCAGAAGAAGTCACTAGTGAATTGGTTTACCATCTCACTTCCAGTGAAGACGTGCATCTCCTCCCCTCGTACAGCAGCGGCTACCCCCTGCCATGCTCTCCCATCGGCTTCCCCTGCACAAACCTCTTCATATGCATTCCTCGTGCAGGTCACCGCTGTTGGGCGCAAAGATTCAAACGCCTTTTCTTTTTCTCTCTCACCTAATGGAGGCGTGCCATGCTTTGCCGCTTGCAGATTCTCCACAAAAGATTGACTTCGTCTAGCCAACGACACCAACTCTTCCAAGACACCATCCGCAGGGAGCCCTTCAGCTTTCCTCAAGACATCCTCCATCCGCACGTTGCCATATGCTGGGTGCTGCCTTCGGACGGCATCCTCTATCAGCCTCACAACTATATCTCTGCGCACTCTTGCCTGCGCAATAACCCGTGCGTCTGTCACTTCACTGGTGCGCAGCACAACCCGCACAGCGTGCGCAATTTCCCTCCCCACCCATGGCAACTTCATGCCTTCCACGGCCTGCCGCTGCAGCTCCTGAAAAATGTCTTCCAACGGCAACGGGAAAAGCGTGATATTGCCTCTCGCTCCAACACGGAATCTCTGGTGCTGCGCTTCTTCCAAGATCACATTGCCATAACGTGTCTCCAATGAAAAACAAACCAAGCTCAGCATGCACGGGGATGCTAGGATCGCCTCCAAGTAGCTCACGTTCTCCTCCGCCAGCACTGGTGCGGCAAATCCTGTCCAAAGATTGTTGCTCAAAGCCCTTACCGGCATCTGCTGCGGCCTGCTCTGCAATGCCTTTTGACATGAGAAACAAATGGGAATTTCACATTGCGGACATACATCCGGCCAATCGTCCCCATGTTCGCATTCGCATCGCCGATCTTCTGCGTTGCACAGAATCCGCACCTCCCCCTCTTCAAACCTCAGGGTGCACTGCCATTCTTCCAGTTCGCCTTGCCACACAGCATCCCACAAATTTGGAAAGCCAGGGCCCAGATTGCCAAATTGCTTCAGATACGTGTCAATACCGAAGAAATCCTCTACCTGCTGCTTGTTCAGCCCCAGAAAAGTCTCCAACACCACATCCCTCCCAGTCCCTGCTGGACCAGCTCGCTTCCACGCCACCTTCTGCCTCGCCTCCCCCGGAAGGTGCGGATGCACACATCCACAGCAGAAACAAATCAAGCCTTGCAATTCTGAATGGCTTATGCTCTCATGAAATACTTGCAATGCACGCCGATCCTGCGCAAGGGAAACCACTGGGGGTCGCTGCTGGCAGACCACACTCACAGCTGAGTTCAGCACAGTATACAACGCACCTTTGAAAGCCACTCCGCCCAAGGATGCAACGGCATCTTGCAATTCCCTGGTGTAATGGTCCTCCCTTACATGGGCTAAAAGCTCATCTACCTTCTCCCCCCTCCACACGCATCCGTCAAAAGGGCAATGCTGCCTAGGCAGGAGCACCCCTCTGTCCAACTCCTCTTGCGTCCACTGCCCTCCCAAGACTTTGCATGGAAGTGTCGGCTGTTTTTTCAACAGCCTGGCAATAGCTGCTATGCCCTTCTCCCAAGCTCTCCTAGGATGCGGTGATGCCTCCGTCACCCACAGCCTTTCCAACACGTCGAACACGTCCTGCTCCATGGCTCCTTGACCAGGTGATGGCTCCATCCTCAAAGCATACGCCCCAAGGATGCCTCACCAGCCCGGACTTAAGCACGCAGTCATCTAATTGACCTGTTCCTGCTACCGCCCCTTCCTTGCTATGTTGGCCTTTGTCTTTTCAGGTGCCTGCATATCCCAAAATCTGGACCCCTATCCTGGCTGCTGCTATGCTGAGCTGCACGCACTTGCACTTTATCTGCTTCTATGTCCTATCTCTGCTATACATGTTTGCGACGCCGGGATCTTTTCAGTTGCGTCCATGGCCCCAAATCTACACCCCTATCCTGACTGCTGCTACGCTTTACTGCATGCACTTGCGCTTTATCTCTCCTATGCCATGTCTCTGCGTTGAAGGTCTGAGAAGCCGAAATAGCTCTGGCCGTGGTGGCCGGCGGAACACGCCAACGGCGGTTAAATAACTGAAGTGTGTAATATATAAGAAGTATAATCACCATTTTCTATAATTCCCATTTTCATAAGTTAATTAAGTGTGGATGGCTACCCCCAAAAAACTGGTGAATACTCAAGGACCACCAAAGACCCACCGATGAATCGCACCTCGTGGCTTTTTCGAGGGCCGCGCCTCGTCCTGTCGTCCAGGTCATGGGGGGAATTTAGGATGAACTTAGTATGTGAATCATCCATTGTCATCAAAAATAGTCATGAACTAGACGACGGATGGCCCGAGAGCGTAGAGGAGCAGGGTCTTCTCTTGTTAGTATGGAGACGCAATTTTAGAAACGATGTATGAAAGATGTGTTATAGGCAGTCGAGAAGAGGAGTATCAAGACCAAATAGTGAGAAGCTTTTACACACAGTAGCTTTTACACAGACACTTTTACACAGAAAGCTTTTACCCACAGAAGCTTTTACATACAGAAGCTTTTACACAGACACGTTTACACACAGATACGTTTACACACAGACACTTTTACACACAGACCCTTTTACACACAGGAGTTGCTTTTACACACAAATGCTTGTACACACAGAAGCTTTTACACATAGACGCTTTTACACACAGGCACTTTCACACACAAACACTTTTACACAGAAACTCTTTTACACACAGACGCTTTTACACGCAGACGCTTTTACACACAGACGCTTTTACACACAGAGGCTTTTACACACAAACACTTTTACACACAAACACTTTTACACACAGACGCTTTTACACACAGACGCTTTTACACACAGACGCTTTTACACACAGACGCTTTTACACAGACACTTTTACACACAGACATGTTTACACACAGACACTTTTACACACAGACCTTTTTACAGACAGGAGCTGCTTTCAGACGCTTTTACACGGACACTTTTACACACAGACATGTTTACACACAGACACTTTTACACACAGACCTTTTTACAGACAGGAGCTGCTTTTACACACAAACGCTTTGACACACAGAAGCTTTTACACATAGACGCTTTTACACACAGGCACTTTTACACACAAACACTTTTACACACAAACACTTTTACACACAAACACTTTTACACACAGACGCTTTTACACGCAGACGCTTGTACACACAGAAGCCTTGTTGCAACTCTGTCAAGCCTTGTTGCAACTCTCCGACCTTCTCGGACATATCCGGTTGCAGCGAACCCAGTGTGACAACTTATAGACGCCAAGCGCGATACAAATCTCGAACCAATAGCTGCGCCGACCAGCTTCATGCTTTCACCAAACAAACGGAACACAAGCTTGCAGTTGAAACTCGCAAAATCATGCGGTTTTACCAAAAGCTAGCTGAAAAACATCGAATGACTGCCACACGGCAACATGCAGCAGGCCTCCAAAATCTCCAAAGACGAGCACCACGGCCACCAAAAGAAGCTCTGGAAATGCTTACAGTCATGTTTGCTCGGCCAGTTCAGGGGGGAGCAGGGTCTTCTCTTGTTAGTATGGAGACGCAATATTAGAAACGATATATGAAAGCTCTGTTATAGGCAGTCGAGAAGAGGAGTATCAAGACAGGACAGTGAGAAGTGCAAGACAGTAGTTTGCATCGCAAACACTTTTACAAACAGACGCTTTTTACACACAGACGCTTTTAAACAAAAAGCTTTTACACACAGAGGCTTTTACACAAACACTGTAACACAAACACTTTTACACACAGAAGCTTTTACATACAAACACTTTTACGCACAGACGCTTTTACACACAAACCCTTTGACACACAGACGCTTTTACACACAGACGCTTTTTACACACAGACGCTTTTTACACACAGACGCTGTCACACACAAACACATGTACACACAGAGGCTTTTACACAAACACTTTTACACAAACACTTTTACACGCAGAAGCTTTTACATACAAACACTTTTACACACAGACGCTTTTACACACAAACGCTTTGACACACAGACGCTTTTACACACAGACAACCTCTACACACAGACGCTTTTTACACGCAAACGCTTTCACACACAAACACATTTACACAGAGGCTTTTACACAGAAACACTTGAACACAAACACTTTTACACACAAACACTTTTACACACAGACGCTTTTACACACAGACACTTTGACACACAGACGCTTTTACACACAGACGCTTTTACACACAGACGCTTTTACACACAGACGCTTTTACACACAGACGCTTTTACACACAGACGCTTTTACACGCAGAAGCTTTTACACACAAACACTTTTACACACAGACGCTTTACACACAGACCCTTTTACACACAGACGCTTTACACACAGACGCGGCACAGGTTTTACCTCACCGACGACCCTCATTTCGTGCGAAAGGGTTGCTCCGGCACAGGTAAAATCGCAATTTTACCTCAGTTTTTGCCGATCGACCCTCATTTCGTGCGAAAGGGTTGCTCCGGCACACGAAAAATCGCAATTTTACCTCAGTTTTTGCCGATCGACCCTCATTTCGTGCGAAAGGGTTGCTCCAGGACAAGTCAAATCGAAATTTTACCTCAGTTTTTGCCGATCGACCCTCATTTCGTGCGAAAGGGTTGCTCCGGCACACGAAAAATCGCAATTTTACCTCAGTTTTTGCCGATCGACCGTGCGAAAGGGTTGCTCCGGACAAGTCAAATCGAATTTTACCTCAGTTTTTGCCGATCGACCCTCATTTCGTGCGAAAGGGTTGCTCCGGCACACGAAAAATCGAATTTTACCTCAGTTTTTCAGCCGACCCTCATTTCGTGCGAAAGGGTTGCACTACACGAAAAATCGCGAAAGGTGCGAAAGGGTTGCTCCGGCACAAGTCAAATCGCAATTTTACCTCAGTTTTTGCCGATCGACCCTCATTTCGTGCGAAAGGGTTGCCGTTTCGTGACTCGCCGCCGGTACCACCCTCGGCCTAAAGAGAGAAAGATAAAGAAGGCGAGAGAGAGAAAAAGGAGAGAGATGTGAGAGAAGATGTGAAGATGAGCAGATGTGAAGATGAGCAGATGTGAGAGAAGGTGTGAAGATGAGCAGATGTGAAGATGAGCAGATGTGAGAGAAGATGTGAAGATGAGCAGATGTGAGAGAAGATGTGAAGATGAGCAGATGTGAAGATGAGCAGATGTGAGAGAAGATGTGAAGATGAGCAGATGTGAAGATGAGAAGATGTGAAAGAAGGTGTGAAGATGAGCAGATGTGAAGATGAGCAGATGTGAAGATGAGCAGATGTGAAGATGAACAGATGTGAAGATGAGAAGATGTGAAGATGAGCAGATGTGAAGATGAGCAGATGTGAAGATGAGCAGATGTGAAGATGAGAAGATGTGAAGATGAGAGGTTGTGAAGATGAGCAGATGTGAAGATGAGCAGATGTGAAGATGAGAGGATGTGAAGATGAGAGGATGTGAAGATGAGCAGATGTGAAGATGAGAGGATGTGAAGATGAGATGTGAAGATGAGAAGATGTTTTACAGACCCCCACTATTGGAAGAACCCTGCGCTCAGACGCTCTCGGGAACTATTCCCCAAATAGAAAAAATCCAATCTTAGTCATGAACTTTAGGATCGAAGCAATGTTGACCATCGGTTTGTGACCAGAAATTTGAACCATAGCGTGGATGACTGCGCAGCGAGCTGTTGGGAGTCACTGATGATGCTAAACCCATGAATGACCAGCAATCTATGTTCAAAAAAAAAAATCATAAATTCTTGGGTAGTCATCTAAAATCCAGGTGATTTCTTGATTTTACCACAGCATTTCTGGATTTCCTCCACTTTTCACCGTGTTTTCACGGTGCCATCGTGCCATCGTGCCATCGTGCCACCGGGCACTGGGACCCGGACCACTTCGTAATTGCTTGGCCTGGATCCACTATACAGATGGGAATTCATGGTGGCGAATTTCGGGTCTGGGATATATGTGGGATACGATATATATATATATATGTATATCGTTATATGTATATATATATATATGTATATCGTTATATGTGTATATATATATATATGTATATCGTTATATGTATATATATATATATATCTTTATGTATATATATATGTATATACATATATATATATATATACTTATATAATGGAAATTTCAAAACAATTTGGATGTCGATATTTGATTGACATGAAAATGCTCTCAAGTCAGGGGGGATCCCCAAGTCATCATGGTCGTTTCAATACTAGTCGGCATGGTCCAATGACCAATGAGTTCACTTGTTGAAAAAGGGGTAGCCCTATGACTTAGGAAACCTCCCCATATATCCCAAAGAATTGGAAGTTTAGTTTAAATCCACCAAATCATATAGTATAGGGTCCCCATTGTTCTTGTCATTGGTCCACTGGTCCGTTTGTGCCAAAGATCGAAGTCAGCAAGGACTTCCTGCCCTGGTGAAAATGGTACCTCGCTTCATGAAACCAATTTGTCCTGGGTTAAACTTACCGTTGATAAATTGCCTTGTTGGTGAACCCCCAATCCAACTCAGCCGGGGGTGCACTCCAAACAACTGGAGGTTTCAAAAAGGGTATCCCAAAATCATCCAAGTCGGACCATGACGACCTGGTGAAACCATTGGTTTTTATGGTGCTTTCCCCGTTTGAAGAAACCTCCAACTGATGTCGTTTGGAACTCCTAAGGTTCATGATTCAATAGGCTTCAGGGCCAATTGTCATGATTGTTGAACTGCAAACAAACAAAAACAACAATTTCTTGGGATGATTTCCCTTACTTCGTGAGGTTGCTAGAATCTATTCAGATTGCATCATCTATTCATATCATCAATAAACGATCACACATGTGCATAGAGCATTTCCAGGTACACACACACATATATATATATATTGGACATACCTAGCATAATGATTTCCTTGATTTCTCTTGCCACATCCAGCATGTCCATATGTGTGTTCCATAGTTTTTTGAGTTTTCCATGAGGTCATCCATATTCATAGCTGAAGATTCCCACATCCCCCACGATGCCATGGATTATCCCAACGATATCACGATTGGTTTATTCCATCCCATTTTAAGAATGGTTAGAATCAGACAGCTCGCCAGTAAACTAGCGTAGCTATGGAACATGTTTCATATATGTATATATGTATGTATGTATGTATGTATGTATATATGCATGTATGTATGTATGTATGTATGTATGTATGTATGTATATATATATGTATATATATGTATATATATATATATGTATATATATACACATACATATGTGTATGTATACACACATGATTTATTTATCTTTCATTTTAATGGCGATCTTCCAGTTCGCAGACTGTGACGGACTTGTAATTTTCAGGGTCCAACTGTTAATTTACCAGGGGGTAATTTTATTGGGATAATCATGAAACCACCAAAATCACGCCCATTTTGGTGCCTTAAAAGTCACCCGTTTACACCTGTCCGGCCTGGGGGGTGGCCTCTGCGGTGGAAAGCTGGGCATCACTGACTGATTGTCCACCCAAGACATGGGACTCGATGGCCTCACCCGGGAAAAAAAAGGAGACCCGGGGGAGACCTGGGAGATCATATCCAGTGAATTATTAGGATAATCTAATCCAGTGAATTATTATGGATAATATCGTGCTTAATTATGGATCATCCACTGGTTGGTATAATATAATAGTTAGTATAATATATGGATAATTATGGATCATATATTATATGGTGTTACCGTGTTACCCTCTGGTAATGGCTAACAGTTTGCGAACTGGAAAATGGCCCATAGAAATAATGGATTTAGCCATTGAAAACATGGTGGATCTTCCCATAGTTATGTGAATGTTTACCAGAGGGTATTCATATCAAGTCCTATTAGTATTAGTAATATTGAATTATTCATGTAACATTCATAATTATTCATTTCATTCCATTGATAATGTTCCAGAATTAGTGAATATTCATGTGATGATATCTATTCATAACTAAGATTGGTAAGAACCATATTATCAATGGGGATACATGGATTTATGGGGAATGGATATAAACTACTCATAGGATTATTCATTCTTAAAACCCAATCATTATTACTATCAATGTGAAAAATCACTTAATTACCACTCATTAAACAACCATGGAGGATTCTAGCTGGGAAAACCATCGAACATCCATGATGGTTTTGTTCAATTGCCATGTTTGATTACAGCAGGGTATAACATAAAATATCATAAAATCACTGTCACACGCTTTATTGTCATAAATGATTCCGGTATATTCCGATTATGATCATAAGTATTGAGATGTGGGGAAGTTTCGCCATCAAATTCTTGGATGGGTTTTCTCATCCCCAAGACCCATCACCGCCACTTAAGCCGTCAGTTAAAGCACCATTAAATCACATAGGATGGTGCCCCCCAGTTTGAAGTTGGTCTATAAACCCCATCAACAGTTCTACGTACCATAAACCATAGAATTCATCCACGGACATTTTCGGCAACTGAACGCACGCAACTGTATCGAACGGGGGGCCCGAAACATCCCGCCTGGCAAATGGACGTGCACTTGGCCTTGGATCCCCAGGAAATTTGGAGCTTCCACCATGACTTAGGACACCTCCATGACTGGAAAAACCGGTGTTTTTTTTTGGTAAATACCCTCTGGTAAACATTCACATAACTATGGAAAGATCCACCATGTTATCAATGGCTAAATCCACTATTTCTATGGGCCATTTTAAATAACTGATGTAGCTGGGGAATTTTTGATAGGTATCATCTTGTAGGGGTGTGCTGCAATGTGAATACATCCCCGGCGGTGTAAACGATCATGACATGACACTTTCTGCAGAGTTCCAACTATACTTCAAAACAAGCAGGAACGATAGGAATGTAACCGCTATCCATTTTCTTTTTGGGACTCCAAAAAGAACAGGTCCAGTAGGAAGGCAGCGTTACTTGGGTTGTTATGGTTGTTTATTTGGGGATGGCATGAAATGATAAAGGCCTAGGCTATATCCCATGACTGGTCTATGATTGTGTACAAAATTGCCAGTAACCATTGGGCCAAGCCTACTTACCGGCAGAGTACAACCAGCAAAGTGTGCTTGGAACCAGAAAATGAGATACGCCTACAAATCCCATTTTTTTAAGCGCTAAAATTTCCCATTGTTCTTTAGGATACTAACAATTTTCCACGCCCCAACTCGATGTCTTATCATGACATTCCAGGTTGCAATAAAACTATTAATGTTTGGGGTAAATCCATCTTCTCCACATGCCAAACCAGCACAAAACTTCAGGGCGAACGAATTGAAACTTGATTCCTCTTAGTGTAAGCTGAACGCACGAAAATCAATAATGAGGTAAACCCAATGAACATATTATAAGATAATACTAGGATACTTATGATATATTATGAAGTAAAATATAAGATACCAATTGATTCATCAAGTACATTTTGAGAAAACATGGCCCGATTTTGTGATAATAGCTATAATATTGGATACTTATGAGCAAAAAACAAGGGATACTTGTGATGAAACCATCCTCAATTAGGGTTCATGTGATTTTTTGTGGCTATCCAGGAAAACAGCATATTTGTGCATCATAGTCACTTGGGAGACGTCATCAAAGACGTGGATAGTGCTGGTGCTTCAGTTAAGCGGACCCCAGTGCTCCTGGCCGCAGAGCGCTAGTTTTTTTTTTTAAAGCCGGAATTGGAGTATGGCCATTGAATTTACAAGGAAAACCCATGGAAAAAAAACCATCAGTCAGAATGCCAAGAACAATCCAATCTTTTTATGATTTATCACACATTGTTGCGATAAAATTCTTCAACGATTTCAATGGCTATGTGGGTGTGCCTGAACATGGGGAAAAAAACATGTGGCATTTTCAGCTTCCGCACCCATATCATCCAATCATATCTTATCGTAACAACTCCATTGTTGAATCATTATAAATATTGCATTTCTACGTATCCATAGTACCATATCTGGTTGGTGGTTTGAACCCCTCTGAAAAATATGCTCGTCAGTTGGGATGATGACATTCCCAATATAGGGAAAGTCATAAAATTCCATGGTTCCAAAGCACCAACCAGTGATTATTAACCATTAACCATCACTAACCACTATTATTGGTGTATAATCTTTTTTTTTTAAACCATCATTAACCACTATTATTAACCATCATTAACCAGTTATGTGTCTGAACGTGGGGTTTTTCATCCCAGTCAACCGGCCATTCAAATTACACAATCGCTAAATCACGTGAGGTTTTCAACCAGTTCCGGAGCTTCATCTGGAAATTTTCAGACCCCAAAACATCAGAGAATTGGTAGTATTCCATGTTATTTTCACTATATTTGTTGCTTAAAAATCACGAAACCAAGCCTATATATATATACCCTGAAGTAACGTTTTCCCATAAAAAATATGGGACAAACTCTGTCAACGTATCATACATCATCCACATACCCTATGGTAACTTAAAATAACCATGGAAAATCAGCATTATTAAGAGGTACATCAAAATCATCATGTTTATCATCGAACTAAATGGGTCATTTTCATAGAAGAAATCCGAATCACCAGTTGGTAACTATTGATAACATCTTGGAATAACCAATAATAGTTACCAATATATTGATAACATCACCAGTTGTTTTAATCATCACTTTTTTTCTCTTGGAATAAAACAGTGGGATTTTTCCATATTTTTCCCATCTACCTACTGATCATTGGAATTTCCCAGCCGCGCAACGTCGGCACCACACCTTGTCGCCGATTCCGAGGGCTCCATGGACTCCATGGTCAAGAAATGCTCGATGGGAGTGCGACAGGCAGGCATCAGGTCCTGGTGTTTTGTTTGACAAAGAACAGGGATTTCATGGTGATGAATTTATCTCATTATTTTTTCAAAATCACGGTCAAATTCTGTAACAATTCACAAAGCATGTTGGGAATGACATATTTGTGATTATTTTCTTTGTGATTATTTTCTTCCCGCTATATTTCTCACGAATGATTGATTTTAAACTATAGTTAGTAATACTTCAATGAATTTTGGGGATAACTTAACATAATAATAGAAAATATTAAGGAACACAATATTAATGGAAAATATTAAGGAAAACAATATCATATCAAAACATATCAATATCATTGAGCATATTAACGAAAACGTGATTCGTAATGAATTTGGGGATAATATCAACATATCAATATCAATATTAATGAGGGAAACCATCAGTGGTATTATCAAAATGTTGATATTGATATCGATAATTAACCATGATATTAATAGTTTAATTGGAAATCCACGATATGTTAATATTGATAAATGTTTGTATCATATTGAGTATTAAATTTAACCATGATATAAACAATGGATTGGTTTTAAGGGGAAATTTGCAGGAAACCATACTTTTCCCCATGAAAAATCGGGCTTTCCTGTAATTTTTCCCTTAAACCAATCCATTGATATAAACATTGATATAAACCATAGATATTGATAAAAAACCATGATATGAACCATAGATATTGATTATTAACCATTGATATTGATAATACCATGTTAATAAACATTTATATATATATACACATATCAAACATATCAATAGTGGAACGAAACCCATGGAGATGTCCCGATTTCCCGAAACCTCGAGCTGAAGGAGTTCACTCAGCCGTACCCACGCGTGATACCTCAAAAACAAGTCACCGAGGCGAAGACCGATGTGGTGGAAACAATGACAAATCTGGAGGAAATGTGGTATTCAACTAGCAAACAAGTGCCACATTTGAGAATATTGAGGCATTTTGAGTACCAAATCAGTAGGAAATGTGGTATTAAACAGCAAGAATCACGCAATGTTTTTTTTTAGTCAGCAAAATTGAGGTATTCAACCTAGAAACAAAAGCTCAACCCTTCCAATACTTGACTTGTAATGATCTGTCAACCCTTTGAAAAAGGTTAACCAATGGGATCTTGCGGCGAACTCACCATCTTTCTGACCCAATACACAGCATGAAAGCTATCGTGGGGTTACTCAAATCATCTACTCACATCCACAATACCTATCTGGTTGGTGGTATATTTACCCCTCTGAAAAATATGAAAGTCAGTTGGGAAGGATTATCTCATATATTATGGAAAATAAAAAATCTTCCAAACCACCGTCACCAGAATAAAATCTGGATCATTACCCAATGTTGAATAGTATAATTGTGACCTTGCAATGCTTGGGTTTAAGGGCAAAACTCGACCAGCAATCGCCCCATCGCCAGGGTTTTCCAAACCACCGAATCTTGACCATCATCCCGCAACGGCGATGGTTGGTTTTTCTCAGGGTTCACTTCCAAATATCACATGGTTGGAATTCTCCACAGCCCATTTCTAAGTTCATGATGCTCCCATCATTCCCAAATATCCAACGAACAAACTGAAAATATTTGAGCGATGCTGAGCCGGATCTCCACCATATCTGAGTCGTAGAGAAATAGCCTCTGGTCATAAACATATGATAGTTTTAACTAATTCTGTATAGCAATATACATGTAGTAAATATAGTTATATCATGCTATATATATATGGGCTGGAACATCCTCTATGAATGGAGGTCTCTAGCTGGGAACATCGGAAAGTCGGGGATTTCCAAGTGCCATCTTTGCTAAGCGGGTTTCCAAGTACCCCATATCCCAACTGACTCACCCGATGGTTGATCTTCCCATTGAAACGGGGATTTTCCCATTAGAACCTATGGTTTTAGCGGGGATTTCCAAGTGTTCTGTTTGAATATGCATTTTTTTTTCGGGGTTTCCTATGGTTTCCTAAGTCATAGGGGTGCCATCCAAGTCATTGGACCATGGTGACTGAGGCTCCATACCCATCGCCCGCAGGCTCACCAATCCTGCGGGAGTCGGAGGATTTCATGGGAATCGCGATGGGTGTGGAAGGTTTCCCTTTAAGGGGTCCCTCCAAATCCCAAAAACAGATTTTCGTATTAAAAGCATTGAAGCTATGGTTTTGGGGGAGCCCTATTTTAGGAAACCTCCAGATGGATCCTTATGGGTTTTCAAGTAATGGAATAGCCTGGAGTAAACGTTGGATGTGGACTTGATTTATGGGGAAAACTGTTGGAAAGAGGATCGACAACTGGTAGGTTTTCCGCATCGAACTGTAAACGTTTACAGGAGGCTCTACAGAAATCGACGCTGGCAGACGGATCAATGCCTGTTAAAAAAACATTTGCAGGTGAACATCCAGAACTACCAGCTATTTTGCTGTTCACCATACCAGGTTTTGATTCCCATATCTGCAAGGCCCCCAGAGGTGCTACCCAAAATGGCTGATCCCCAGAAAATCCGAGTAATCGTCATATGGTTCAGATATCGCCATGGCTGTCCATTACACTACCATCCTGGTGAAATGCCAAATAATGCCAATTTTTACGATACTGAGCCACGATCTCCATATCATATCCGCATCATGATTGGTATCCCCGTATATGATGGTAATATCCATAATATGATAATATCCCCATATCATATGCCATATCATACCATATTCTTGGAAATATCCCCATCATATCCCACCCTTTTTTATCCCCATAGAAAGATTTCCGCGCACTTCATGACCACCGACCAACGAGCCGTCCGGAGCCCACCATGGATCAGCTCGTGTTGGGAATCCCTGGCTGGATCCAGCATTGAGTTCGTTGATAGAACCTCCATTACCCTCTGGTAATGACTAACAGCTTGCCAAGTTGAAAATTTGGCACCTTTAGTTCGTTGATTTACCTATAAAAGATGGTGATTTTCCAGTTCGCGAACTGTTAGTTTACCAGGCCGGGTATCTCCATTTGTAGAGGATTTTCCATTGCCAAGAACTGGTGAGCAAGGTTCAATCGACAGTGCGCCTGGTGGAATGTACTGAACGGATCACGTCACGGATCTGATGCAACCCTTCCTAATATCAAATACGCTCAAATCGATCACCTAGTATTGGATCTATTCCTTTTTGGGTTCATTGTCGGGGTATTTTCATTGAGGGTGCATCCCAGTAAGTGGGCAATAATCCAAGTCGAAGATCACATCCACAGCCGAGCAGCTTTTCAGGGCCGGTGATTGGAGGTATCTCGTCGATGTGCATGACATATCCTTGGATGTCAACACCCCAATTATTGAGATGCCCATGATGATGAGATACCATTCATAGACATGAGTGACATGAGTCGCCTCACATTCGTTTTTTCCTTATCCAACTCCAAGTTGCTTCGCAACTCACCGCGAAATGCCAAGCATCCGAAGTTGAAGTGTGTACCATCTCCCCACCAGCCGCCTGGCGATTTTCACATTGACCTTGGCGACCTTGGCGATCCCTGAAAATCCCATGATGACATGATGGTCTTCTTGGGCCGAAACCACTTTTTTGGGATGAAAATGTTACACCATCTTTGTTGGTAAACACCTCCCATTTGTCATACCCAATCTTAGACCTGCAACATTTCTATCTGGTTAGCTTCATATATACCCAATCATGGCGAACACATAGTTTTTGTACTCAACTACCCAATCATACCCAATCAGTCGGTCTACCCAAATAACTCTAACTTATAACAAACCCCAAACAGATGGCAACAAGTGCTTCCTGGATGTTGCAGATGATGTTTCTTCCATAGTTTTTCGGTTTCCAACTTTTCAGCCAGCATTTTGAGGTTGCTACAATACTATTTGTGGGATACCCAAAATACAATCCCTCCCAAGCAAAATGGACCTTGCCATGAGTAACCTTACCATGGTCTACCCATGGTTTTTCAATGAGAATTGCTTCAGTTTTTTTCTGGTTTTGAATGGGAAATCAGGATCTATAATCAGAATCGTGTTCCATAAATGGCGAACAAAAACATTAAACAAATCCAGATTTCCCAACAAGAAGTGGGAGCACGTCATTAAACCTCCAGGTTTTCCAAAACCAAATTGGATTTACCAACGGGTAAACGTTGAACGTCACCGTTCTTCAAAACCACCCGCCCGACCTGGAGCTGCTGGAAGATCGATGAGGTCTTCGCACTGCTCTTCGCTGAGACTGATGCCACTCTCCTGCGCAACTTCTGTGGGGAAAACATGGGAACGATTAGCGAATATATTCACATATATCTTCCATATCAATCCATATATATATATACACATTATCTAATGTAACTTTTATATGTTCATTTGTACATGACTATATAAATCACCCATATATTGTCATATATATATATAAATCTATTCATTAAATATCTAGTAATATTGTATCCATATATTTCACCCATTTTGTATTGTAATAAATATCCTGAAGTTATGGGGGATCCCCAATCATCACCATTAGTTCAATAGAAACATAGAATCTAGTGACTTGGATGATTTGGGGTACCCCTGTAACCAAGGATATGGCTAATTGATGGAGAATTTAAGTGGTTATAACTGGATAATTCATGGATGCTTGCTGAAAGGGATCATTAATGAAAATAGTGTTCATGAATGGACAGTCAATGGATACCCTCTGGTAAACTAACATAACTATAGAAATTCAGCATCTTCAATGGGTAAATCAACTATAAATTGCAATTTTCAATAGCAAACTGCTGGTTTACCAAAGGGTGATTCATGGGACATAGTTAATAACTGGTAGACAACACGTTGCTTGATCTGATGGATACTTGATGATTGATGGATCATTGATGGATCATTAATGGCTGTCCTGGGAATAATATTGGAATAATTCATGGGATTAACATGTGATTATTGGATATTAAATGATAGTCATGGGTATTTCCGAAGATGGGGGGGCACCCTGATTTCAATACTAAAATAAGTTGGGATGATTTGGGGTTTCTGTATTTCAATTAACACCCGTGTTGGTGTACTGATGAGCTTGGCTGAAAAATCCACCAGAAATAGGTCAATGGCCATGACTCAGGAACCGATTCATTGGAGACGATTGGAGGCACCTATCATATATAAAGCCTATATTTCAAGCCAAAATTTCAGGGAATATCCATCCAGAATTCAGCCTGAAAAATGCTACGTTGACGTACCTCGATGTCTTGGATCCTGGGATATCCACCGGATGATTTTCCCAACCTCGCTGGTTGGAGGTTGAGCCCTCCGAAAAATCATGGAGTTCGTCAATGGGGTTGGGATGACATCCCAATGATGAAATGGAAAATTCCAAAGTCATGTTTGAAACCAGCAACCAGTGATTATTAACCATTAACCATCATTAGCCACTATTATTGGTATATAATCCCATTAAAAAGATGTTTATCCCATTATAATAACCAGTTATAAGTGGTTAATGTACCACCAGATAGATATTGGGAATTTTCCAGCTGGTGACATCGGTTTTTGTGACTTCCACAGGTCTGTGACTTTTGTGACACAAAGTCAGCGGTTTGGAACACATCTTCCCATGTTTTGAAGGTGAAAAGCAAAGCCTTAAACCAAAACTTCAGTTACTGATGATGATTAAATCTCTATCAAACCATTACGGTACTTCAACCATCAACCATGACTAATGATGTTTCAATCTCCATTTAACCCTGAACAAAAACATCAAGCTGCGCCAGGGTTTGCAAAGAAACTGCCCAAAAATCAAACTGTTCGCTGGTTGGAATTCGCACATATTCCAATTTTTATGGCAAAACTTGAAATACCTCCAGCACCCATGCAGTCAGTTTCCTTAGAATTGGCATGCTGTATGCTTAATTGATATAATTTCCATTGTTGGTTTGCTAAAGTCTCAAATTTTTGATGCTTATTTCTTATTGATCCTCATTGTTCGTTGGCTAACCCCCCCAAACATTTGGTTGCCCAAGCGGGTAAACGTTTACAATCCGATGTGGACAACAACCATGGTTCCCAGTTGGTCTCCATGATCTACAAATTACAAATAGTGGATCTTCCACATTTTTCGATGTTAAATCTCATCCCTAATATTCAACACTCCATGGTCCCAAGAAGCATAAATCCATATCAATTCCATAAATCATGATTTCCTGGGCGTGTTTCGTATTACACTTGGTTTCCACCCACAAAGGTCCGGACCCACCATGGTCCACCATTTATTCGAGGCGAAACCAAGGCGAAACCCATCGGTAACGGATGCTCCTCACGCAGCTCACGGGCGGCCGTAGCCTTGGCGCCCAGCTTCAAATTCTTCCCATCCTCGCCGCAGTGGATGCGCTCCACCTCGGCGTAGCTGGTTGCTGGTTTGGCACCCGCAGTGGCCGAAACAAATGAGGGAACAACACCTTGAAAAATGGAAAATCATGGAAAATCGATGGTGGATTTGGCTAAATTCGATATTTTTGATACTACAATCATTCGAAACCAGGATTTCACTCATATCAATGGACAATTCCTGATCCCTTTTGGGTTGATGGATGTAGTGAATTCACCATGAAAATTCTTGGATTCATCATGGCTTTATCAACCACTGGCGGCCCATTTGAGGGTTCCCTGCGCAGCGACCAAAAACGTTGATTTTGACAGGGTTGGATTGGGGTAACATACCTTACAGGGGAACCTGTATGGACAACTTATGGGCTTATTGCGGTAGTTCTCACGTAATTCTCAACATCATCGACACGCTACTAGATGTGGCTACGAGAGAGGGTTTTGAAATACCTCTGGTCACATGTGGCGCTTGCAACGTCCGAAGAATCTGGTAGGACGACAGCTAAGATGATGGGCTCAGGGCTCAACTGAGCCATTCAATATACCTCTATCCCATCTCATGAAATACTGGGGGCTCAAACGCTTTCACATTCAGAATTGGGTCAGCTCATAATCCCCAAGAACCAGGTAGGAACGCAACCCCAACCATGGCAGCACTGAAATAGTCATCCGTGACTTGGGGGATTTTTTGGGGTACCCCAAAATCATAGGAAAACTCTATACACATACAGGATGGGGCCCCCCAATTATAAGTTGGTTTATAAACCATTATAATCCCCCTTAAATATAGTTATATCTACCATAAACCATTATTAAGCCACTTATAAACCAACTGAACTATCTTGGGGGCCCCATCCTGTACAATTATATCCCTATTCTATCCTATGAAATCCATCCAAATCAGCATTTTTCAGAGGCGTCTTGAGACAGCGCGCAATGCCACCAGGTGCAGCTATCTTGTGTGATTCGGAGACCTGTCCAGGGATGTTTCGCTGAGTCTTGGTGATTAATGGTGAATTCATTGTGATTAATGGGGAATTCGTGGGATTTCATGGAATTTCATGGAATTCTAATTGTGATTTTAACGTAAAGGGTAAAAACAACATGATGAACTATAGTTATAATTATCACCAAAGAGATAGACAAGTAAATCCCTACTGAACGTGTGATACTTGACTTTTCCCATCTTTTTTGGGATCACTATTCATATTAAAGCTCTATCATCTAACATATTCCCGTCCAAACCGAACGACGGTCAACGGTGCATCGATGCATCTCGGCGGTCCCGTCGTCAGATCGTTCATGTTGCACTAAAAAACAGAACCATAGAATTCCATCAAATTCCATTCAAGTGGTCTATAAAATAGGGATCTAATAGGGATTAATGGTGATCAAATATGAAATCCATAAAATCCTATTAGATCTCATTATATCACCATTAATCCCTATGAATCACCATAATTGGAGCCAATAACAGCTACCGTCTCCAACAAAGTGATGTTTTAATTGTACCAGAACTGGGACAATGTAAAAAAAATGACCCTCCAAACGGATTCCAAATGGGTGTGTCGGAAAATAGGTATATCCACCATTTTAGCCATTTAACAGGTTTAAAATGATCATTTTCACCAGTGGCTTTAGGGGTACACTACTTTCAGACAAACCCACATGGTTTAATTGGATATCGGCTTTACCTCATTGTATCCCGTTAAAACAAAATTTAAAGCCACATAGCATACAGCCGCCGGCCCAAACTGGCGCACTGCCAGAGTCCGAGTGTGGATGTAACTGGCCATTGGACTAATCTTGAAATCTTGGATTTGATGGTGGTTAATGGGGATTAATGGTGATATACTGAGATTTAATAGGATTTTATGGGCCCTAAATGGAATTTGATGGAATTCTATGATGATTAATGGGGATTTACCAGGATTTAATCAACAAACATGGGGCTATTCATACGAATTACCCTCTGATAAAATAGATTGATTAGTTTCCATGGCTATGTGAGTTTCCTGGAGGGTATCTCAAAAATAAATAAGACTGGGGTACCCCGTTTCAGCCACTGGTTCACCATCAAACCAGATCAAGACACGCCCACTTTGTTCAAGTGCTGGCCATGAGATGGGTGATGAATCCCATAGGTTCTTGGGGGTGTTTCATAATACGAGGCTCTTTAGATCTCTTTAGGGATTATTGCCTCACATGAAAAACCAACTCCATGAAACTTCACCTAGAAAGAAATATCCAAAATAAACTACAGAATGGCCCCCACAAGAGGCCCCCAAGATAGCGTTCAGTAGAGATATAAGTGGCTGAATTCTATGGTTTATGGTAGATATAGCTATAGATAACTAAAATTTTTCATGGGCTTTAAAAACCAACACTCACACCACTGCGGGGCACCATCCTGTACGCCATCTCCATCTTCCGGGACCAACGCCAGCCTGTTTGCTCCTCCGATGGACCAACAATCGATATTCATCTCCTTGCCGCTGCTGGCCCAAAGAATGAATGTAACCGCCACAAAAAAAACAAGGCCAATGTTACCACTATTCTACTAAGAACTTCTACTTTTCTTATTTTTTCGAGGTTGGCATGCTTTAAACACTGGAAACTCACACAATTCTCCCACTTAAAAAACACATTCTTCGAAAAGAACACCTTCTTCAAAACCCTTCTTCACCATCCAAAACAAACCGTCACACCACCATCTGAGAAAGTCATGGCCCGAAAGCGTCGTCTCCGTCGTGGGAGAAGACATACATACCACATGATCCGACCTCAGCGGGGGAGATTCCCTATGTGATGAAAATTGGGAAACCAGCCACTGGTTGGTGGTTGACCTACCCCTCTGAAAAATTGAGTTCAGTTGGGATGATAACATTTCCAATATATGGGAAAATAAAATTCATGTTCCAAACCAACCAGAATTAGTCAGGCCATCTGACAGGTAAAATGCTACTGTATCGCCCCAAGTAAACACCTCAGAGGTTTTTATACAAATCCGGGCTTGACATTACACATTCTAGTGGGGATTTCACCAACATTCGCCGGAGTTGTTATTATCAAAAAGTGGGGATATAATTGACAACTAATCCTTGATGGATGCTTGGGTTCTACCACCCTTTACGGGAAATACTGAGGAGTATTGCCATGACATGGACATTCCCATCAAAAAATCCAGTGCTTTTGAGAGTTTCTTGCCGGTTTTTGAGATCACCTGGTTTGACATGGACAGACCCAGCACGTTGCAAAGCCACATATTTTGACTTCTTGTTCTTCCCCATGGCAATGTCAACGCCGCGGCTGGAACGTTGTTCTGCAAACGCTGCAGCGATTTTTGCTGTGGCGGCTGGGGAGAATGAGCACAAGATGGAGCATGCCATGATGTTCCATCATATTGAATCATATGAGCCACTGATACTATTTGCCTTTACAGGCATGATCCCTATCTCAGGATTTCGAATAATTTACATTCGAACCATTGGAATCATAAAACCAACAGATCATCAGATCACCTTTCACCAGGTTTGGACAGTCCTGGTGTAGTGAAACCTGCCAGCTGTGATTCTCTGTGAAACTGTGAGCCAAATCCGGGACAGCGGAATGACCTTAAGGCAGGTCTTCATAGCTCAAGTGGTATGGCAATCCCGGGACCTATTCAAAAAGCTGGTATCATGGCCTGTGGCCTGTGATCCCTCGATACTTCAGCAACCCGGTCCTTTTTGAAACTTCAGCATGGACATCTCATCACATTCACTCCTGTCAGGAAGTTTGATGCCAAACGTAAAATCACTGCTTCTCGAACCAAATGTAAAACTCGAACCTGAGACTTCAGCAAGTAGTTCTTGAACCATGCGTCAGGAAGATTGACATTGTCCATTGTTTGGAAAGGTCCTTTCACTTGGTCGTACATCAGCTTGAAACCTGCGATTTTCTTGCCCTGTCGTTCCGCATCACTGCAAACACGTGCAAAGGCAGCATCTGCGGCCCTTGTCCATTCTTTTGCAGAATCTGCAGAAACTTGCCGGTATGGTTTGCGTGAGAATTCGATCAACAATTCACTCATTTCTGGACAATACACTTCTCTCTGACGCCCAAGGGCTTCACAAAACCACGTTGATCCGCTTCGCCGTAGGAAGTCTGGACAACATCATAAGAACTGCATACTCAGAATGTTGCAAGCCTGCAACGACATGGTTCCATTTAGCAGTGATTTGGTTTCGTTCCAATTTTCAATTTCATTTTCACAAGAATCCAGGTGAAGTTCCTCAGAAAGTGGATGTGGAATTTGTGACGTCCCCAAGAACTGCCAAACCATGTAGAGAAGGAGATCTCGCCTGGAAATGAAATCTTCAAAGCGCACATATTGGTATGGCAAATGGCTATTCATCAATAGCCGCAACCAGTGCCGGTGTTCCATCTCCCACTGCAGCACTTTTAGCAGATGTCTCTTCTGGAAATGAAACTTTTGTGTCGGCACGTCTGATATGTCTGGTGGATCCATGGTATTCTCAACGATCTCCAGAGCCTCCGGAGCCTCCGGCTGCTCGTTCTCCACAGGAGTCGTTCGGAAAGGTGAAGCCAGACGTAAAATCACTGCTTCTCGAACCAAATGTATGATTCGAACCTCAGAACTCAACAAATAGTTCTTGAACCATGCCTCAGGAAACTTGATCTTTTCCACTGTTTGGAAAGGTCCTTTTACTTGATTGTACATCAGCTGAAAACCTGCGATTTGCTTGCCCTGTTGTTCCGCATCACTGCAAACTCGTGCAAACGCGGCATCGGCGGCTCTTGTCCATTCTTCTGGAGAGACGAACTCCTTGTACTGCCGAAATGAGAAATCGACCAACAACTCACTCTGCGGACAGTAAACTTCTGGGTGATTGCACAGGTTTTCGCAAAATGATGCGGAACGGCTTCGTTGTGTCGTGAGGACAAGAAACTTTGCACAGGGAGTGTCACTGGAGAGTTCTCCTCCAGCACTGAGCATGTTGCATGCCCGCAATGACATCGTTCCTCTGAGAAGTTCTTTCACTTCATTCCAGTGAGCGATTCGATTTTCACAGGCAGCATCATGAATCCAGAGAAAGGCGCCTTGTAATCTGGAATCTGAAATCGTATTCTTCACACCCAAGAACTGTAAAACCATATGCACAACGGCCTCGTGTCTGAAGGACACGAGGTCTTCGTAGCTCAGGTAATGATATGGCAATCCGGTTCTCTTCAAAAGCTGGAACCATTGTCGGTGCTCCCTCTCCAAAGTCTTCAATGAAGTCAAATTTCCTTTGTGAAACTTCAGTTTCCTTAGATTTGCCAATTGGACATGCCCTAACTTCGACTGGCGAATCCATTAAGGTCAATGAAGATCAATTCAGGGAATACTACTATTTTTTCTGAAGGGAAGCTTACCATTTTTTTGAGGTTTCTTATGGCTTCTAACAAACACATCCAAGTTTCCGAACTTTGCTCCTTGCAGCTGCATCCTGGGCATCTTTAGTATGATGGGTATTGAAACCCATCTTTGCAGATGCTAATCTCATCACATTCACTCCTGTCTGAAAGTTTGATGCCAAACGTAAAATCACTGCTTCTCGAACCAAATTTAAAACTCGAACCTGAGACTTCAGCAAGTAGTTCTTGAACCATGCTTCAGGAAGATTGACATTGTCCATTGTTTGGAAAGGTCCTTTCACTTGGTCGTACATCAGCTTGAAACCTGCGATTTTCTTGCCCTGTCGTTCCGCATCACTGCAAACACGTGCAAAGGCAGCATCTGCGGCCCTTGTCCATTCTTTTGCAGAATCTGCAGAAACTTGCCGGTATGGTTTGCGTGAGAATTCGATCAACAATTCACTCATTTCTGGACAATACACTTCTCTCTGACGCCCAAGGGCTTCACAAAACCACGTTGATCCGCTTCGCTGTGTTGTGAACAAGAGAAATTTGGTGCAATTTGCGCGCAGCATTTCCGTTGGAACATGTTTTTCAGCCAGATGATGAGTTTGAGGCCAGGTTCCAGAGTTTTCGGAGCCCAGCAGTTGATCAAAACCACCAGAAAACCACCAAAAGGTCAACACCAATGAAAGAAATAGAGGAAGAATGCAGCCAGCCAAGGCCAAGTATCCAAGAGCCATGGAGAAACATCGATGAATTTGACAGACGTCGACGAAAACACCTTGTGCCAACACGCGCAAAGACATAAGGTGCCTTGCACGGCTTTGGCCCAACCATACCGACTCAAAACATGATGCTGACATGAAAGTTGCATTGAAACCAGTGAATGAGGAGGACTCTGTTCTGGCAGCAGTCGAACATGTTCGAACCTTTTTTCTTTCCTGCCATTTGGCATTTACGAAAGCGCAAACATGCGAAGCTAGCATCAATATCTCTCAACCACATTCGTGGTTCGAACTGCAGAAACAATTGGCTTTGCGTAAGAAATCGTCAGCAGGGAATGGCTCAAACATTTTTCACAGGTTTGAAGCGAATTTTGGTTGAGCCAATTGTTTGGAATCCATCAGAACTAAACCGACGATGCCGTGGAATCCAGTTGAAAGTATCTGGACTCGGCCTTGCAAAGTCCTTCCTGGTACTACATGACATCACTTCTGATCAAAGGTAAGATTGTCTACCAGAGACTACATATATGTATATATATATATACATATACATGTATATATATATATATATATACATGACTTGCCCACGTATCTTTAATGGGTGTGCCTGAAAATGGGGCTACCCGCCAAATCGAATGGATTACCGTCATTTTCCACATTCAATGCCATGAATTGTACGGGTCTATCCCATTTTTCAAGCAGTCCAAAATCACATTGCTCATATATGTATGTATCCCACTACATATATGTTCCCATGATGATATATGTCCATTATATACGTATATATATATAGCTATATGTTACATGTAAACTCCTGTATCTATGATCCCCCAAAACCAATTGCCATGGATGAGATTTATGGGTTAACCGGATACCATAAAAAACAGTTGGTTCATGGATGGTTATCCCCCAATCATATGGATAAATGTGGTAATAATTGGTTTTGATCATCCGCATACTTACATGCATATATATATATATGTATGTATGTATGTATGCATGCATGCATGCATGTAAATATAATATACTGTATCCCCATATCGGTTGATTGTATATCCCAATGATCTTGCTAGTTCTGGTTTCTTCACGTTGCTGGGCCGAGCCCAGAAAAAGGGATGCCGCCCGCAGGCGGAAGTCTCGGGCGAATCAAGCGCCCTTTCAAAACACTTTTTCTGAGCGGAAAACCTTACCATTTCAACATGCACGGCTTGGCCAAGGCCTTCAGCTGTCGATCTCGATCTCCGAGCGTAACTTCTGACAGTAGAGCTGTAGGAAGCCGTTCAGGGACGCGTGGAGCTGAGGTGCCTCGCACCGCAAAGCGGAACGGCACCGACTTGGGGGATGAGCCGAAAATTCATCGTAACGGTCGTAACGTAACAGCTCCAAAAAGTGTGTTTCTATTTCTGTGTGTGTTTCTGTTAATTGGGAATATAAGCATCAGCAAGAAAACTAGGGGGGATATCTACTGGAACCAATGACCAATGATGATTAGAAACTGTTTCATCCAAGGGTATTAATCAATGAAAATAATCCCATCCACGGTTGAGATTAGACACCCCCAAAGAAACCATGGTAAGAAATCAGGGATAAAATTGGATATTTGGGGCCATACAATGGGGGTGCTTTATATTAGGGGGATAGGATTATCCCCATATATCACCAACAAAACTATAGGGATTTAATGGCACCAGTGGTGATTAGGAACTGGTTAATGAAACTTTGGGACTGGAAATGACCGTTAACGCCTCCAGCTGCAAAGTGGGATGCGATTCAAGACTATGACAAAACGAAGGCAAAGATGCTTCCACCGTTTCAGATTTGCAGAACAGTTTCCTCTTTACAACTTTGACCGTAGGAAATCAAAAGAGATACCCTCTGGTAAACCAACAGTTTGCTATTGAAAATTGCCATTTAGTTCGTTGATTTACCAACGAAAATGGTGATTTTCCATAGCGAACTCTTCGTTTACCTACGAGGGTGGCCCCAAGTAGAAAGGATAATTTCATTCCAATCGCCCAAGGTGCATGTCTCGAGTTTTGCTTGATTTCCCTACCCGCTGGCAATCAAACATGGCCATGGAAAATAATATGGTGCGATAAATTACGTAATGCAACTGGTGATTTGCAATTGCCATCTGAGTTTGTATGACAATTTTGCACCCCAAATACCAATTGTTTATTAACCTGGGGGTTTCCGAACCATTCTCAGACACACCCACCTTTCATATTGTTGGCACTTTATTCTCAACTATATAGATCCTAATCCATAGATGATTTTCTCATTAACATCCCACTATTTTCATCGAACCTCAGCCATATCCCTTCTTTTTCCATCAAGATAGCCATAGTTCACAGGATGGTGCCCCCCAGTTAAAAGTGGTTTATAAACCCCATGTATACTATAGTTCTATCTACCAAAAACCATAGAATTCAGCCGCTTATAAGGCAGCTGAACGCTATGGAACGGGGGGGCCGTAGTGCATGTTTTTTTTCCTGAAATTCCTTTGGCGCTGGGGCCTCGGGCCCTCAGAACCACAAAGTCTGCAACGTTTCGCATCATACCCAGGCAGTGCGCACTGTTCGGAAGCAAGCCCACCTAATGGCACAGCAGCGGCCGGCGCAAAAATAGAAATTTGGGTCCTGAAAATGGGAAAACTAAAACACACTGGTTCATAGACCAATATCATGGTTTAAACATGCGAACATGTTTAAACAACATTTTGGATGAATCGTGAAACCAGTGTTTGAGCGTTTTGAATGTGGAGCACCATCGTACGTTAATAGGGTTTATCCACACTTTTAAATAAATTGTTTTAAAGGAAGGCCGACAGGACCAAGTTGCGCATGCTAAGCCCAACTTACGTCCAAACGTGCCCAAGCTGTGCCATGTTGGGCCCCAGTTGGGCTCAAGTTGGGTGCGAGTTGGAGCCAAGCGGCCCGACTTCGCGAAGCGACTCTAATAGATTGATTCAAAGGAAGACTGAACGTAGTTTTTAAACCCCAAAGACAGAGTTTTTCCGCAGGTTTGGTCGGTAACGTATTCCAGGTTGGGAATTTGGGTGCGAGATCGACTAGAAAAGTCAGAGAGAATCCAAAAGTAAGTCAGAAATCCTCAGAAAGAAATCTATTCGCTGGTTTTTGGTCCAAAATGTCCAAAAAATGCAGTCAGTTTGCATCATCATTCGGATGACTCCATCTAACTCCATGTACTGATGGTAAGAAATATCTGAAACCACCATGGAGTGATCATGTTTCCAACACTGGCCTATCCAGCTATCATCATTTTCACATCTGGTTCTGCACTATGGCTCCGATCCAGATCTTAATTAAACCATCTCACATATTTAACTATTTTTTCCGTAATGAACCGCACATGATTAGATATATGAACTAGTTGGTGAATTCTTCATTCAGGAAAGGAGGACACATCCCATTTTTTTTACCACCTCTAGATCTGATTTATCACTAAATAGTGATTAGTAATATCATTTAGTGATAAATCACTATAGTAGTATCATAGCATTACTAATATATACCATGGTATTATAATGGTATTACTATAGTATTCTTGTATCACTATAGTATTTCTATCATAGTATTACTACTATATATATACTATCTATAGTAGTGGTATATCACCTCGACATGTTTCGAGAGGCTTTCCAGGCACCTGGATCTCAGCCGCACGGGCTAAGACCTGCTGGAGCCTTGGTGCATCCATGGGAGAATCATGGGGTTCATGGGGAAATTGTGTTTCACAATTGAGTTTTATGTAAATATAATACACACATATATATATATATCACATATATAACACATATATATATATATCACATATATCACATATATAACACATATATATATATCACATATATCACATATATATATAAATATATATCACATATATCACATATATCACATATATATATATATTATATATATATATCATATATAAATATATATCTATATCTCTATATATATAAAAATCTATATATCTATCTATATAAATCTATCTATCTATCTATCTATCTATCTATCTATCTATCTATCTATCTATCTATCTATCTATCTATCTCTATAATACATATACAAATGTAACTATAATGTAATATAATATATAATATGGATAAATATGGATAATCAAGCACAACTCACTGGGCATATCATGGGGATTTACCAATGCTGAGGCCAAGGACTCATTGCCGGTCATGCAAGCGGTTGGAAAGACCCAGCCTTGTTTCGGCGGTCAACGGTCAACGACAGCTGATGTCAAAACAACACGATTGAAGATGAGTATATTTTCAAACCATATAGATAGATATATGAAAAACATGTTTGTATATTTATATACAAAAATCTTCTCTATTTCTGAAAAGAAATATATATGTATGTATATGTAGATTCCCTCTCTCTAAATGTGTGTGTGTGTGTATAAAATATATACTTATATATTCTGTGTTTATGTAAAATATATATATATATATATACAAATATACACATAAACATAGGTCCATGTAGGTCCATGTAGGTCCAGGTAGGTCCATGTAGGTCCATGTACGTATGTATGTATGTATGTAGGTAGGTAGGTAGGTATGTATGTTCATCATGAACGATATAACTATCCGACCACTGCTTCCACTGAGGGCAACGACCCATGCTGTGGAACTCCTCCTCTCGGAACTCAATGAGGTGCTGCGGCGGCGGTTGTTCTTCGATGCCAAAATGATTCAGTGGGATATCTCATTGGGAGATCTCATTTTGGTTGCACAACTCTAGCTCGACCGCGCAAGATTGAGTTCGGAGGGGCCTCCAGCAAGACAGCGTTGAAGTATTCCAAGAAGCCCTGACTGCCTCAAGTGTTGAAACGCCACCCGAACTGCCGAAATTCTTACATTGGATTTGTCTGAATATTGCTCGGCACAGCCTCGGAAAGCTCCAAAACCCCCAAAAAAGTTTTCTGCCTACAGGGTCTACCCGCATTTATGGATTAATCGTAATTTTCTTCATCATTTAACAGTTACCCTCTGGTTCCTTATCTAACATATAGCTATATGGAAAATGGCACATTTAGTTTGATGATGTACGATTTCCCTGTTTAACATGGTGATTTGCCATAGCCGTTTAATCACCAGAGGCTAGTCCAGGAGCCACACTGACTCAACCATTGAAACGCACTGAGTGCTCTGCTGTAGGCTCCTGGGTCAAGAGCAGCAGTGGATTTCATCCAAGGTCAATTGGATTCAAAAACAAAACAGTTTTTTGGTCATTCTCCTTCTTTTTGTCAATGTTTTTTTTTTTAAGAGGTTCTTTTCAATGTCTATTTTTTGGCGTTTTGGTTTTCAGTGTCTATTTGCTTAGAATCAGCTGCTGGGAATTCTTGTTTGACCAACATGCGTAGATATACACATCGTCTAACAGCGCATCCTATCGTCCAGTCTGAGCCCTTCATCGTGTCGTGAATCGTGTCCTGCCAGTCGTGCCGTTCCCACTGCACCAGCGATCTTCGCAAGGTCTTTGGAGCAAATGGACCTGTCGTGGGGCCCAACAAAATCATCAGAGTGGTGATTTTCATGCGGAAACCAATGGTGAAAACACAACCAATGGATTTTGAGCAGTACGTCTTCAGCTGTAAGGTGTCACAAATCTCCCGTTTTTTTTTGGACATCGCTGAACATTGGGCCCCTGGGGTCTGGACTCTTTGCGAAAGAGCTCCTTGCAGGCGACTG